TTCCCAGGATTTCAGAAGATGACCCTGAGTGTCACCTGATTCTCAGGGATTCGAGTCAGTTCGAAGTCAGTCTGCAATCAAAGTGATGCGTGACCTTGAAGAACCGTTGTGGATGCGCAGACTGGATACTTTCGAGGAGTCGAGAGGGAGTCCTGCACCATACTAAACCAAGTCTAAGCACCCACAATTGGCACTTTCGACGCCGTGCGACAATGGATTCGCAAGCCGATCGCAAGTTTGGACCCAAGGTATACTCAAGACAAGACATTTGACCCCAAGCATAGTGAACAGAAGATATTTGCCCGAAGAAGTATGAGAGAGAGAGAGAGAGAGAGAGAGAGAGAGAGAGAGAGAGAGAGAGAGAGAGAGAGAGAGAGAGAGAGAGAGAGAGAGAGAGAGAGAGAGAAGTCGCTGGTAGAAGACAAACAGAGTTCAATTTTCCCTGTACTGTGCAAGTGACTTCGGCCGAGCCTGCCGACGGAAATCCGGAGGACCCACCACCACCTTACCAGATTCATCGATCCCGGTGACCTACAAGATGGCGAGGTCTCTGAAGACCGTACATCAAGTCTGGCAAGAATGGTCTGCCGGAATTCATGGTGGTCCCGCTGTGCGTAACCTCGAAGAAAGCCATGGCTCGACCTGGCGCAGCGCACCACCAGAAAAACGGTTTTTTTTCTTTCGGCGATAGAGAATCATCGATCATATCATAACAACAGCTCAAGCGCAATGTATTACTCACGAGCAAGCGGTGTGTGCGCTCGAGGCACACCGAACACAGCACAAGCTTACACTTAATGCACTTAGCGACAGTCTAAAAGGAAAACTATAGATCACATAAAGAAGTGCACAATCGGTAATACATCGTTGTATATCATCGCCACAAAAATTTCGGACGTACACTTGCACCCCACCTTGCGTGCCCCTTACTCACCTCAGATCTGCCTTGAGATGGGCGGTCAACTCCTCTTCCAAGGCTACGCCGTCCTCCAGGTGACACGAGGCGGTTCTCAGTTTTTCGGCGACGACATGCCATTCTAGAAATGACTTGGAGTTTGTATCGGATGCTGATTGGTGGATGACTTGGATACGGTGCGGCTGTACCCGTGTGACATGGATGGTGACTGTGGGAGAGAAGTGATTTCTCGGGATGAATCAAACGCCTGACCGCAGATGGGCCCAACTGGCTGGAAGTGTGAATCCTGGGAGTGCACGACCAGGATTTCAGAGAACACTCAGTCCAGCCGCGGACTTTCCCTTACGATGAGTGCCTAAAGTCTGGCGGAAAGTGTCTCTGGAGAATGTATCCCAGAGTACACCTCATCTTGCTTTGGCTCAGAGCGCCCCAGAGGATCAAATTACCCTGAGAATCAACCCACTACCACCATGATCATGCGCAGGAGGCCGCTAAACCCGCTAAAAGTGTGGCTTTGTGGAGAT